TGTTTGTGTTTCAGCTGCTCCAGCACCTTCCTGTATAAATTAATGTTGAGCAGTAGCCCACAAGTTAGTGGGCGACTTCCCTGGTACAAGTTTGGGCATCCATGCCCATCTAGAATCATTGAGTTCTAAGCAGATTGGTCTATAGCCATTTGAGGTGTTGTAATCAAAAGGAATGGTTATATACTTGTTAATCCTTTTCCTTCTTGAGGTGGGAAGTGGATTATTTATTTGAGGAGTCTGCTTGGTATTTTGGCTGTGGTTGGTCTTATTGATTGGTTGCCAGCAGGTTCTTTGGTTTAGATGGTGAGGAGGTGTTGATTTATACAGGTGTTTGGATTTTGGTTTGGGAGCAGGTTGGTTCCTTCTTTTGGGAACATTTGGGGGATGGTTTTTTTTGGTAAGTGAGCTTTCTTGTGTATGATTTGTGGCTTGTAGACGTACAGTTTTGAGTGAGTCTAGTGGGGGATGAGTAGCCAAAACCTATTCTCTTCCTATTTAGAGTAACTTCAGCAGTAGGGTGATAATTTTTACTATTTGTGCATGAGTTTCTCAGCTCTTTGTTCTCCTTTTCTAAAACATCATTTTTGCTTAATGCATCTAGTAATTTTGAATGAATTGCCTGAATGTCTTGTTTCAGTCTATCATTTTCAGCATTCAAAAGAACATGGTGATTTTGGACTTTTTGGAAATCTTGTAATAAAGATTCCAGTGTTATATTGTTTGGTCCAGAATCACTAGAGCTATAGGAGGAGCAGGATGTTACCTCAACATCGTTGTTGTGGTCCTTGGCCATTAAGCATTTGGGGGAGCAGCTTTCATCATCTCTTCTTCTACTAGCGGAAGGTTTGTTGAGCCACCTGCTGCTCTCTTCAGTCACCTGCCATGATCCTAGGCAGAGAAGTGCTTCTTCTGAGCTATCTGATGAGGAGCTCTCATCACTTGAGCTGCTTTCATCATCAGTTTGGAGTTCCTCCCTTTTCTTTTCACTTACAAAGGCTTGACTTTTGCCTTTCAAGTTTTTGTAACCAGCTTTTTGAGTAGTCCCTTGCTGCCCTTGATATTTTTGGCCTAAGGGCAGAGGGCATTCATTTTTGTAATGTCCTGGCTGTCTACAGTTGTAACACATGACAGACTCCTCGTTGGGTTGAGGTATCCCTTGTCTTCTAGGTGGCTGGTTGTATGCTTTCTTTGGAGCAGTTCCCTCCTTCATAAATCTTTTAAATTTCCTCACAAACATAGCGAACTGCTCGTCAGTGAGGAGATTATTGAGGGATTTTCAGCAGATTTTAAAGTGCTTGGCTCAGACACTAGAGCTAGTGTCTTGGACTCATCTTCCTTCTCTTCTTTGATCTCCTTCATTTCAAATTCATAGGCCTTGAGATCACTGAAGAGTTTGTCAGTTGACAAAGTTCAGAGATCTTTGCTATCTCTCATAGCAGTTACCTTCATGTCCCACTTGGATGGCAGGCCTCTTAAGACTTTAAGGGAAATCTCCTTTTGGGATAGATCTTTCCCTAGGTCTGAGACCTCGGCTATAATCTTTAGGAACCTGGATTCCATCTCATGAATAGAGTCATTTGACAACATTTTGAAGTCTTCAAATTTCTTGAGGGCTATGGTCAGTTTGTTATCCTTTTCTTGTTCATCACCAGCTCCGATCTTTGTGAGCTCATCCCATACTGCCTTTGCAGTTTCACATTTCCTAATTCTGGGAAATATGGACTCATCAACAGATTTAAAGAGAATATCTTTGGCAATGTTGTTAAGATTATTCCTCTTCCTATCCTCAGATGTCCATTCTAATTTTGGTTTGGGAATGTATATATCCTCCTGGTCATCAGCTTTGGATGTTCTGACCTTCATTATTCTGATAGGTCCATCAGTAATTACCTCAAGCATTTCATCATGTAAAGCACTGAGATGTGCTTTCATTCTAATTCTCCAGTCATCAAATTTGTTTAAGTTGAACAGGAGATTCTTGGCTAATTGGCTGTCCATTGTTTAGAAAGTGTTTGGGAGGTGAAGTGGCTTTGGATCTTTAGTTCAAAATAGTCAATAAATGACTCTAGGAACACTCCTCTGTGATACCACTTGATGGTCCCGGATAGGGTAAAAGTCTAGAGGGGGGGTGAATAGACTTTTAAATCTTTTTCGACTTTTGAAAGTTTTACCTCTAAGAGAGTTAATCTATAAACTTTTGAGAGATTTATAGATGCACAGCGGAAGTCTTTACCCTTTATGTAATGAGTGTTTAGCCACTTTCTAACTTGGAGAGTGTTTGGCTTGGACTGCTAGCAGTTGGCTTAGCAGGTGGCTAAGAGCAGGGAACTGCTGAGGCAACTGCTCAGGAAATGCAGAGTGTATGATGATGGTAAGGATAGTTGTTTGATGAGTATGGTAAGGCCTTTTGGTAAGTATGCTTAAATGAAAGGAGACCAGCTTTTTGCTAGAGCAGTGGACTCGGAAGTTGGGTGAATATGAGGGAACTGTTGAGGCACCTGCTTGGGTCAAAAGCTTATTGGGTTAAGCAAACTTATTGATGAGGTATTGACAATCTGGTGATGTTTGAGATGTTGACACGAAACAAGTATATATGAGCAGAGGGCTCAGCAGTTGGGTGGACTCCAGGGAACTGCTGAGGCACCTGCTGTACTTAGAAGGTAAATTTCAGAGAACTGAAAGAGTGATCCTTTTAAGTGGTGTTGATGCACGTTAAAGGTGTGAATCTGGTCTCAATGAAAGTGAGTAATTAAGCAGTACGATAAGCAGTTGGGTCAATTAAGACAACCGCTTAGGATGCTGTCGGCAAACTACAATCTTTAAGTGAGAAGTGTTGGGTGTGTGCTTTGTTGACTGAAATGAGTTCAACACACGATATATCCTGGTTCAGAGGTGGTGTAATCCTCCTACGTCCAGTACCACCCTCTTTCAGATGGATTTCACTAAAGTATTAAGCCCAATACACTTAATGTCAATCTAGCCTTTACAACACTTAGGCCTAGATTGAAGGTTTTTCACGATGAGTATAGCACCACTCAAAGTTACTCAGTCCTTAGACTTTTCTCTAATGAACCAGTGGGGGTCAAAAGGTACTCTATCTATCTACTTACACTGTAGGATCCGAACAACTGTTCTCCTAAGTGTTTACAACAGTATGTGATTTGTTACAAGATAGTTCTAACCTCCAACTAGGAACTAAACTTCTATGATGTAGCAATGAAGAGCTCGTATACTTGATGTTTAGTGAAGCATGAGTCCAAGCAGAGAGTAAAGTTTAGAACATCACTTTCTCTTTTGCTAGATATCTCGTGTATGCTTGTGATATAAATTCTCTCTTTGGATGCTCAAAGCTTGGTTAGAAACCTTCGTTTCAGCCTATATTTATAGGCATCTCCTTTGAATTAATCTCATCCGTTGGTTAGGATGGATTAAACTTTGACATTGAAATTCTGACAAGAACAAATTGTACATTCGTCTTCTTGTGCTGGAGCTTTAATTCGGGCTGATGTATTTGTCTTGAATAATTCAGCCGCTGAGGCTTTTCTTCAAGAAACAAATCCATGTGTGCGTCCTATGCCGCGGCCCCCAGTACTTGATTCGGTATTAAATACCGGTCAAGTTTTGTCTTCAATCATCCATTTGATATTACGAGCTTCGTGACATACGAGTACTTTTTGAGTCAAATAGTATTTGCCGGTAGGATTCAAATATTCTATTAAGGTAAACAAATTTTACCTTATTGCATTTTTATTTTTCCCGGTAATATTTCTTAGACTCAGAAATTGTACATTTAATTTGTCATGTTAATACTTGAACAAAATGGGACACAATGTACACGTGCTAAGTATAGTAGCATCATCAAAATCTTATCAAAATTGGATACTAACAGACTCCATTATGATAAAAATTAGGATCATCATTATCATATGCATCATTATCATCATAATCAAGATAATCATCCTCTTCGGCATCCATGGGGTCTAAGGGTCGGGTACCTCCTCGGCTGCCTCGGCTGCCTCCTCGGTTGCCTCCTCAGTCGCCTCCACCAGATGACTGAAATTGATTGAAGAAATCAGACGACAAAGATCCGAATGCCGACCCCATTGCAGGCATGCTACCATATCCGGAGTTAGAATGATAACCCATATGACCCATGTGCGGAACTTGAGGAGTCTGCTCAACGTGCAACATGTACGGCCGAGGAAGAGGCTGAGGCGGAGGCTGATATCCGGCAACAATCCGTTCCATCGCTTCGAGCCGGACTCTTGTTTCTTCATCCTTCTTCCGTTGCTGCTCCTCCAATTCTCACTGCAATATTGTGAACGTTCTTGGGCTTTTGAGTATTAGTCTGAACAATTAATTTGTTCAATTCATTGGGCTTGGTAGGTGAGTATTAGTTTAATACGTATGCATTTGAGGCGTTTTTGTATTCGGCAAAAATTCTTATTCCTGTTATATTTATTTTTGTCTTTGACATTTATGTTGCAAAAGATTTTATTTTATATTTGAAAATAAATTTTGTTAAATAAGATACTCCCTCCATCTCTCATAACTTTGCTAACATTCCTTTTTTTATTGTCCCAAAACCTTTGCCACTTTCCATTTTAATCAATCAATTTGTGCTTCCTATTATTTCTCTCTCATTTGTATGAATCTCTATCACACAGTTTTTACTTTATTATTCTGCGTGTCTGTCAAACTTGGCAAACATTTAAGGGATGGAGGGAGTACTATTTTACTACGTTTTGACATTTTTTTGCAATATACGTTGTTTAATCAAATTTTGGCCCCACCTGATTGACAATGCTAGATCCGCTCCTGCTCGAAACATAATAATATTTTGTTCGCTACAAAAGATACCTTTTATTTTGTAAATGTCTCGTCATTATTAGAATCATATACCAAAACGTAATGCATTACGTTATCGAGTATGAATTACTAACTGAAATGTGCGCCTGGGGTTGTGTATATAAATCTCTCGAGTGAGAGGCAGAGAAGAGAAATTAATTGAGTAGAATATATTTCCTCAAGCACTTAATAAAATGTTTAGGGATATTATTTTTGCCTGCGCATTGGATGGTGTAGCAACAGGTTTGGAGATTGCGACGGGAGTATTTCAATCTAATAAGGTACGTCCGTATTGATTTAGTACGTAGATATAGAAGAATCAACAATGTAATTGTGATGCGGGATGAATAATACTACCTCCGTCCCCACAAGATTCGTCATATTAATTTTTCTTGGTCGATGACAAATTTTGAATACGGAGCATTTTGATATAATTTTCATATTTTCAATAATTTCTTATTATAAAATATGATTCATCAAAGTTGATTATCATGAATAAAAAAAAATCAATTTGGCGAACTTTTGGAGACAAAGGGAGTAATATAATAATGTCGGAATTGGTATATATATATGTATAGGTGAGGAATGCGGTGAAGGATCCGTCGAGTTCGACTGATTGTTATGCGGGAACGGATGTTATCATTTTTTGGATACCTTTGCTAGTTGTAGGCTGTTGTGGTGTACTTGCTCATCTAATTGCTTGCAAGTATGGACGACGCATCTACCGCAATCGTGATCCTCTCCCCGATAAACAGAAGACATATGCAATCCTTTTTGCAATAGCCGCTTGGTATGTTTTGCTTACTCCATACCCGTAGTATATCATGACTTTTATTAAAGAAGAGTTCAAAGTAGGAAAATGTTCTGTTTTCTCATTAAATCAGATCAAATTTAGATATTGCTGCATCGGCTGATTCTATTAAAATTGATCAACTTCAGGATGATATCAAAAAAAGAATCATATCAAAAAATAGTTACAATGATCATTTGCAGTAACCTCAGGCAATTCATCCAGAAAATTACACCAACTTTACTGATTTGATTATTACACAATTCAATACACGATATCAAAAGTTACGTGTTTGGAAAAAAGATTAACTGATAAGCCGAAAAACAGAGTCACCAAACATGCTCTTATTGTAATACAATTAATATACTTGTTCATTCAGTATACTTATTCTTGGCACCCTCTCGTTGAAGCCAATCAGAGCCAATTCTATGCAACGGAACAAACATACATTTGCACAAATCTGACGTTGACCCAAAAATTTCAAACATGATGCACCATTTTAAAATACAAACATTGAACCTTAATTTTTCTTAGGAGCCACAATATTGAATCAATTGAATAGAAGGGGAGGGACAAAGTTCACAACATATGAGGGGTAGTGGCGGTATAGAGGTCACAGGTCGTGGTATGGACCGTGGAGGATCTTCCAAATTATGTACTCCCTCCGTCCCTAAAAGGATTGTCATGTTTGACTGACACGTAGAATAATAAAGTAAAAATTGTGTGGTAAAGATTTGTGCAGAGGAGAGAGAAATAACAGGAACCACAAATTGATTGATTAAAAAGGAAAGTGACAAAGTTTTTGGAACAACCAAAAAAGGAAAGTTGGCAAAGTTATAAGGGACGAAGGGAGTAGAAGATATGCTAGTGCTAGAACAAATAGTCAAAGACAAAAAGTCAACAATAATGTCCCTAAATAGCTTTAGGACGACAAAGAGTTGGTGAAAAACCAAAATTGCAACACATCGAAAGTACCACTCCAAAAGTTTAAACTTTTCGCAAATACATATTTTAATATGACAGAATAACTAATGATAATACTAAGATCGTTCAGTTTTACCTTTTTGGTCCGTCCTATTAAGATTGTTTCATACATAATTTTGTAAAGTTTGTGTGATTCTAAATCATTCTTACTTTATTCTTACTTTGTCAATTCAATATCAATCAGATAAATAACTTTTTATTGATTTGCGTATCATTCCATCTTGTCCCATTGTTAGTGGGACGGAGGATGTATGATAATATAAGAATTAAATGAGTGCTGTTTGCCTGCTCGTGGGACGTTTAATTCTTAACGTTTGATATTCACGTCGTGATTTATCCTTTGTGAAAGTATGATTAGATTTCACTTAAAGAAAAAATTGGGGGCAAATTGAGTCTTGAATTGAATGTTAATTGTTAAGAGATAGGTGAATAATTATGGAGGAGAATGTTTTTATATGGCTCCAAACCAGCTACTCCAATCGTAATGAGAGTATTTTTATTTACTAAAATCAAAAGGATCAATATTAATACTGATTACAATCATTAAATTAAATAAATAACATTAAATCATTAAAAGAGAGAAGATAGGGATGGTCACGCACTCGCGCCACCCTACTTCTCCTCTTCGATGTTTGACAAATTAAACAAGGTAGATTCTATGGTACCCTTAAGATATCATACCTTTATCCACATGGACCAATCAGAATGATGTAGTTGAATTATTTAAATCTAAATTAAAAATGATGTAATGAATTGAACCAATCAAGTGAGTGGTAGGTACGGTACCCCATTTTTTAAATGGGTACCGGAGTTGTCACCATTAAACAAAGTACATCAATCCAATAAGATGATGGTCGAAATTATACGATTACCAGTTATCAGTGTGGTTATGAAGTAAAAAATTGATCGACATTAAAAGAGATCTTTAATGTTTTTTTAATTCTTATACAAAAGTATTTAATAAAAAATCGAAATGACTTTAGTAGTGACGATGGATTTTATCGTAATTTGTTAAAAATAGGTGTTTGATTCATATACCTTCGTAGTAACTGTTTGGGAAATTCTAATGACATTAGTGAAATGAAGTCTCGAAAGATAATCGCGCAGTTAAAAGCGCAGTTATCTTCAAAAATTCATTTGAATGCCTTCCCGGTTGAAGTTTTAGTTGAAATTTGGTATGAGTAAAGTAGACTTAATGAATAAGATGCTAAAAAACATTTATCAAAAAATTCCATCGGGAACCTCCCACAATAACAACGGTCGGACAATAAGTACTTATTTGACTAATTTATGCAATTTGGAGTACCAATGACATTACGTCATTTTCAAAAAGACTTCATGTCAAACATCCAAAATTCACGTACGAACGATGTTACCAAATGCAAAGCCAGGCTAGCCAGCAATTGAAAATTTGAAATTACTTCATGAGGCAAAATTTTGAAAAATCCCCCTCTTTTTCTAACAATGTGAGGAGTTGATATTTTTAGCTCAAAATTATTTTAAATAGACTCAACTTCTAAAATTAAGATCTCATGATGGTATAAAGCAATTTCATGCTTCAATTAAGAGACTCTTTAGTCATTGGTTGAAAGTGTGAGACATTATGTTCTAAACCATTTTATTCAAAAACAACAATGGCGGGTCGGGTAACTATAACTAATGAGTCAGGTAACTGTAATTGGTCGAGTAATTGTAACTGCTAAACTGGTTGGGTAACTGTAACTGCTGAACTGGTTGAGTAACTGTTGGTCACTCTATGGGTAAGCTGGGCCTAACAAGGGTATAATAGTCTGCATACCCCTTTTTAGTATCATTTTCCGGAATTAAAAAAAGGTTCATTTTATGTCTAATAATAACTACTCCGTATTTTTTAGTAATATTCTTGTTAACCCCTTAGGTCTACAGGTTAGTTGTCTAACATATCGAAATACAATCATGAGGAAAGTAAATCAAATTTCTACAATTTGGCATAGAAACGACGACCTTTGCAAGGATTTGTGCCGCCACATGGTTCAGAGATCGTTTCGCATGTTTGATCAAAAAAAATTGCTTTTGAAGCAGTAATATGTCTAACGTCATCAATAAGCAAGTCGAAATAGGACTCACCTGGATCTGATAGCACCCCTGAACACACTTGTGCATCGGTTTCAATACTTACCTTTTCCCAACCGTCTCTTGCTGCCCAGCTTATGGCCTCCCAGCTTACTATACTACTTCCGCTTGAGCTTCTCTTGGTGTCCAGGCAGTCGGGTGCCTGTCCCTGCTAGCTGCCACGAAACCCCCTCAATCATCTCTCGCTCGCATAGCTAACCCAGGCCACAACCACCACCATTTTTGTCAATAGTAGCGTCTGTATTTATCTTGAGCCAACCCTCCGGTGGTTTTAATTTTCCCATCAGAGTATTATTATTATGTAAGTTTCTTCCAGGCAGTTGCATGGACAGCCCGCCACCCATTGAGCAGGCTGCCCCACAGCTCTGCTATTCTTTCTTTCATTCCGCCACACTACATCATTCCTAATTTCCCAAATGCTCCATAATGACATGACACAATGTAGCAATCCTCACTAAAAAACAATCCGCACCCATTCATTTACAGTTGCAACGGCTCTTGTAATTTATCTCCCAGAATAGTTATTATTATTAGGAGATAATTCTCCAAGTAAGACTAAATAATATTAAAAGTTCAATAATAGGAGTGTAATGTTATGTTATGTTCCGTAGGACTAAAAAGGGTTAGATAGACAAAACTACCCTTAATGAATAAATCAGTATTTATTAACAATGCAAATAAAATAATAGAGATAAAAATGACAGCAGTCTTAACATACGATGCAGCCTCTGCCATAGGACCACAACCATCTCCAGCACCACTGTCGTCGCCGCCTGCATCGGCGACGTCGGGGACGCTGCCTCCACTGGCGACGTCGATGCTGCCTCTGGCTCCACTGACGTCATCTCCGTCTCTACCGGCGTCACCGCTGGACGCCTCCACCGGCGTTGCCGCCTCCATCCACTGGTGTCAATGATGGCTGCCTCCACCGACGTCGCCGCCGGTCGCTTCATCTTCCACGTCATCCAGCGATGCTGCCACCCATCCGCCACCAAATATGTGATCTGATTTGTGACTTGATAATATTGTCATACAAGTGCCATCTTGCAGTTGTAATGCCATCTTAATGATACTATTGACATCCTGACAGAAATAAGATGACATTTTCAATTTGCAAAACATGGCATTAATGTCTTTCATAAGAGTATTATTGCCAGCTTTGTATCTTTAGTTCCATAAAAATAGCATTCATCATTGTCATTATTGCCATCTTGACGGAAATAATATTATAAATGTACTGAAATTATTCTGAAATTAACTTTCAATAGATGGTATTTTTTGGGAAAATAATAATAATGTCATTTTCATTTTCAAAAATAATCAAAAATAAAAACATAAATATCAAACTAAATACAAATTGTCGAAATATATATAAAAAAATTTGACAAATAAAAAAACAGAGGAGAAGTGGAACAATGAAGAAGAAGAAGATTGAGAAAAATAAGACGAAGAAGAAGAAGCAGAAGAAGAAGAAGAAGAAGAAGAGGAGGAGGCTGGAGGAGGAAGAAGCAGAAGAGGAGGAGGAATTCGAAACTTACCTCTGAGCAGATCTAATTTGATGCGTGAAGAGAAAAGAGAGGGGGGAGAGAAGAGAGGAAGAGGAGAGAGAGAAAGAGAAAATGGTTGGTGTGTGCGTGAGAGGAAAGGATAAAGTGAGAATAAAATAGAAAACACTCATGTTTTGGGAATAAAAAAAATAGTAGTCCTATTCTTGCATTAATCATATATTTTAGTCCTATTTTAGTCAATAACATTTATTATTAGTTATTTTATGTCTAATAATAACTATTACCGCCCGAAACAATTGGGCACTTTGCTTTTTGGAGATAATAATAAGAATATGTAAAATGCCTTTCATTCTATTTACTAATAGGAAAATAAAAAATCCACTTCCTTTAATTTGGAAAATACAGACAAATCTTGGGAAAATTGACAGCAATAATTTCATTTTTCAACGATATTCTCAAAATATTTACATATTTACGTAATCGCATAATAATTCCACCTGCTGCTATAGCAAGGGTTTTTCTCTCTTTGAAAACATTATTACACAAATAAGCTCATATTTCACAGATCTTCTCAAAATGGTACCATGTTTCCTTTTCGCTTTTTCCCCTGATATTTTTTCTTTGTTTTTATCTGTAGAAACTTTTTTCCCTTTTACATCTTTTGGTTTTTATTTCTTTTCATTATTTATGTATTCTATTACTCACTCTATCAGGAGACTTTTTTGTAAAATATCCTTCCCGGAGAAATATTGTTTCCATTTTCTTCTTCCCATATTTTTATTTATTTTCTCTTTTATGTGTTTCTCTTCTTAATCTTCTCTTTTTATAAAAGATATTTTCCATTCTACTTTTGTTATATTTTCTTTTGATTTTCACTTTCCCTCCTTTTTCGTTCTTCTTGTTACTTTTTTTGTGTGTTATACCTTCTTTCGTCTTTTCTTTCTTCTTGTTACCTTAATTCCATCTTCAATATATTGTTTCTACTTAGACCTTTTCCATGAATATTACTAAATTAAACTAAAAAGATAAAAATATGACTTATTTTAAAATTTTCCAAAAAAATGACATATTCAGTGACTAGTTTCAGCGAGTTGTCACTCTAAAGGACGCTATAGTGACTCTTACCCAGGTACTCGTACATAGTGACGACTAGTCATATTTTTGTCCAAAAAACATAACTAGTCATATTTTTATTCGGCGCAACTCGCTTAGTAATACACATGTCATTTTTTATTTCTCTTTTCTGTGTCATTGTGTTTTTCTAAGTAGGCACCCATTGATTCTATCAATTACGGGAAAGACTTTTGTAAAAAAATTAGAAAAATTAAAGTATAAAAAAGAATAGGCTAAAGGGTCAAATAGGTACATGAACTAACTTACAGTGTTCAATTAGCCCTTTATATACGAGGTTCTGCTCGGCCGTCGCCAATTGGGGTGGTTCCCGGTGGAATTTTTTGATGAATTTTTTTGAGCATCTTCTTCATTAAGTCTAGTTTACCCATACCAGCTAAAAACTCAACCGGGAAAGCAGTCAAATGATTTTTTGAAGATAACTGCGCATTTAAACAACGCAGTACATTTCGGAAAATCATTTGACTGCTTCCCAATTTAATTTTTAGATGAAATTTGATATGGGTAAACTAGACTTAATGAAGAACATGCTCAAAAAATTTCATCAAAACATTCCATTGGGAACCGCCCCAATTGACGATTGCCGGACAGAACCTCCTAAATAAGGGGCTAATTGAACACTTTAAGTTAGTTCATGTACCTATTTGACCCTTTACCCAAAAGAATAAATCAATCAGGCCAATATAAAAAGAAAAAAATGATGTATACTATTTACAATAAAATGGATAGATGAAACAAGAATTAGTTGAAAGAAAAAATAAGAAGAAATCTAGAACTACAAGTTACTAACGTAACATGTCAGAAATTAGCGAAAAAGAATGAGGTGTAAAAGAATAAAGAAAAAAAAATAATGACTTATAAGATGATGTAAGAGAAAATGAAAGAAAAATGGAGAATGAAAGGAAGATAAAAAATTGAAATAAAAGTAAACAAAATAATAACGAGTAGTGCGGGGAATAAAGATCTTTAAGTGAGAATTAATTGTATAGTACTACATAAAAAGGGAAATAGAGTAAAAATGAGGAAGAAGAAGAAGAAGAAAAAGAAAAGAGGTAAAAACTATTAACGAGAAATTCTACAAAAAGTCTTTTCTGATAAGGCAGAAAAGAAATTCATAGATAAATAAATAAATAAAATAATAAGAAGATGAAACAAAGAAAAAAAGTATTAACAAAAGAAAAAATTTCCGGTGACAAAAAGGGGGAAAATCATATATGGGACCATATTTAAAAAATTGGTTAAATGTGTTATTATTTATGTGATGTTTTCAAAGAAAATGCAAAAAAACTGGTATAACAGGTTATCAACCGATCAGGAACTGATGAAAGAAATTATGATGCAAGTGTGTGATTGTTGTGGAATTATGTATATGTGTGATTATTTTGGTAATACGGTTGAAAGGAGAGATTCATTCATGTTGTCAATTTTTCTATAAATCTTAGTCATTCATCCATATAATAGCGCCCTCCTATTAGACTATTTTCAGTTTTATTTCTCTATTTAATAGATGACAACACATTAGAGTAACAAATTTAATAAGTAGTAGTACTATGTACTGTTTTTGGTTAAACAATTTCATTATCCGTACTGCAGTTAGTTTTTAAGTTGGGGCGCTTGTCACTCATATTATATCAAGATTATTTATAGCTAACCACTCACCCACACGTGCAGTTTCGCATTTGGTGTGGGAATTTCTATGATTGTTAAAGGGTTTGTTGTGCTTGTTTCGGGTAAAGAGGTGCGCTATTCTAATGGACACTGTTCCATCGTCAGCCCCTGGGATGTGGTGATTACAGCATTTGCTTGGTTTCTACACGGTGGATTTGTCGGTCTAGCATATTACACATTTCGTGATGTCTCTGCATGACACTACAAGGAAGATATACCAAATGTTAACAGGAACGATCTACAAGGGCCGTTTAATTACTTTGAGATTTGAGAGTCCCTGTTTTGAATGACAAATCGAGATCTGTAGTATACCTAAGATAAATATTTTATAACAATGTACTATCTCTGTACCATTTTGTCTTGTTTTTAATTTGATATATTTATTAATAAATCGGTTGGAAAGTAGATATTATGGGTGATGTTTGAATAATATAAGAGCGAGAACTTGCCCTTATAAAGAAAACAAAAAAAAAATCTCCAGGTACCTATCAGTGCATTTAGTTTCTTATAATTGCAGTCAACTAGCTAGTAAAACTTACTACCTCCGTCCCAAACGGATTTGCAAATTTGACTTTTTTTTGACAAACATTTTAATTGTATTCGCTTAATTAGAATATCAATTTTTAATTATATTCTAATTTGAAGTTTGCAACTTTGAAGAGATTTCAATGCAGTTTCTGAATATGTAAATTTTAATTATTAAAAATTGAATTAACTATGGATAGAGATGATTGACTTTTATTATTGTTTGACTAAAAAGTGTTGACTTTAATCTGCAAAATAATTTGAGACAGAGGGAGTATTTGACAGTCAAACATCATGTTTTTGTTGGTACAATGACTCGTTTTAATGTCAGGAATCACTCTGAAATAAACTTACTTACAAAAATTATCACTAAAAGCTTCTATGGTATAGTGTCATGGTCGACACTACACACAAGACATCACTTTTTGTAAATAACCTTAATTTGGTCATAATTGTAATGATGGTAATTGTGTAATTGTTTCATATATATTTATACTTTGACCCTCATTCCATTTATAAAGGTGGTGTTAAATTGATTTTTACAAACTTTTGTATTTAAATAAAAAAAAAATTTAAGTGGTGTCAAATTGTCAATTACCATCATTCCAACTATATGGTAGTCAAATGAAATTTTGAAGATAACTGCACAGTTAAACAGCGCAGTACATTTTGGAAAATCATTTGACTATCTTCCCGATTGAATTTGTATCTGAAATTTGATATGGGTAAACTAGACCTAATGAAGAAGGTGCTCAAAAATTTTCATAAAAAAATTTCACCACGAACCGCCCCAAATGGCGACGGCCGGACAAAGCCTACTATATAAGGGGTGATTTGCACTTTTTAAGTTAGTTCAAGTGCCTACTTGACCATTTAGACAACCGGAAATAGTGATTAATTGAATACTTTTTCATAATTGAAGTCACAAGAATTGAACGAAGAAAATAAAAGAAGAGGAGGAGGCGGTTAGGGTTTCCCCTCCGCTCCTCTAGATAATGAATATTTTCTTATGGCCGTGATACAGTGCTGCATACATTTAATTACTGATTTAATTTAAATAGCAAAAAATTATTTTAAAACTAAAATTGATAAAAACTGATTTAGGACCAAGCATGTATGGTAATAGATCAATTTGGTTGGCTGTATTACCTCAATTAAAAAAATTAGCGAGTGTTTATTTTAGATTTGCGGTGATGCGCGCTCTTAACTTCCTATCAATTTTGCTTTTAAAAAAGTAACAAGAATAGGAAATTAGAATCTCCATATGTTTGTGGCCATTTTAATTTTATTGTTTACATTCAAAGAATTAATTTTATATGGTGCATGTTGAATTGAACTTTTTTTGGTGTGGGGGTCATTTAAGTCTCAGCTCACCTCAAAATTTTGAAAAATGACTATAGTTATGTGTTAAAATATTGTGTAAAACCTTATCAAGAAAATTATTTTTACCGGCCCACACTCTTCATAGATAAATTAAAATAAAATCATTCATGTTTTGCATGAGAGATAACTCAACAAGGTACAAATCATATGAGGTTCACGACATCAACAGAGGCATAACCAAGACAACAAAGAGGGGAGAGGGTTCTATATAGTCATCTAATCCATTTATCGCTTCTTGTCTAAAGATCAATCATTTTTTTTCTTTTTCCTGGATCTCTTTGAATATCAACAAGAGTAAAAAAAGACGAATTTTTAGCAATAAAAATATTTTAGCATTGTACACATTACTAGGATGCCTAAAGAAATAAATTGCAAAGTCCCTTTGGGTTTCTTCAAATGACGTTGTTGAGTAGCCATAATTATTCTACAAAAGCCATTTTTTTCTTATCATCAAAAATTATATTGAGATTATATCAAAGTAAATAGCAATCTAGTAAGAAAATAAATAAATTTCATGTTCAACAAATATAGACTAATCAAATATCACATGATTCATAAATACCATACTAGATTAAGTGCCCGCGCATCGAGGTGTATCTAGAATAAAATTGAATAAAATTATATAATATTAGATGGTACGCAATGTGTATTTTTGTCAAATAAAAAAGACAATAGAGTTTATATATTATATCTTTGATTATACTGCATATAATAGTAGCTATAAGGAAATTAATATTTGGTTCGTATGCAAAATTGCAATTAAAAATTAAAGTAAATGGTTTGTATGTAAAATTGCAATATTTGAGATCCAAGAGGCAATCGAAAGTTAGGAAGGAAGAGAAAAACCTATCATCTTGTCAACTGCTCATACATACACCCACCGTCACCGCTGGTTTCATCTCATTGAATTATATATACTCCTTGGTTTTTGTCTTCAATTAGTTTCACCCTAACACTAGTCCAATCATACCAAAACTCAATAAATCATATCAATTCAGATCAATATACTTAATTATTCATACAATATACTTATTCTTGGCACTGGAACAAACGTCTATTTGCAGGAAATCTATTGCTAACCCAGAAAATTTCAATGATGATGCACCATTTATTTAAAAAGAGAAAGACTAGTGCCATCATTAATGTTTATTAAGAGCCACATTGACTCAAGTATGTGCTACGAATCGGTTGAAAAAATCCCAATGAACTGTGGGATATGATTAAAAGGCGTTTCGGGAACATGCATTATGCCACGCCCCGGACCTATCCGGACACGTCAACAACCCGCCGTATAGTATGAATAGTCAACCGCAGTCCAACTCATCCATACTATACAAGGCGTCTTGAATATCATTCACTCATAGTACGTCCATAAACAAACATAATGTAAAAACATTTATTAAAGCAGCGAAAACATTAATACAAGTGTTCAAGCCACACTTGGCAGACTTGGGCATACAAGCCCCCAAATATTTATTCAAAAATAATATCCATGAGCATTGTTCATATTGTTTTCAAAACAGAAACGGAAGAAGCACGAACCAAGCCTTCTTCCTTCAATTTCCCTGAAGCAACGGGCGGTTGTAGCAACCTTAGCTTCAAGTTCTACCTGAAACTAAGAGGTGGCCTCCCCCGTGAAGGGGAGGTCAGTACTTTGAAGCATTTGATAAGTACAATGACAACTACACGAAATATAATCAATGATTCAATTTCTAAGACCCCCAAATAGAGTAATATCGTAATACAATTGATAATTCATATTTTCCACTCATTATCTCTATAATAAGTTAGTTCATTTATTTGATGGCACATGACCCTTCATCAATTGCATTCATAAGTTAGTTCAATTTCTAAGACCCCCAAATAGAGTAATATCGTAATACAATTGCATTCATCATTTGTACAACCCAATCCGTGGGTCTTATTATTTCTACGGGATTTGCTACCGCTGTCCAAGACCTCATGAGGCTCTCGGTTCGGATTTCAACATCCCGCCCCTGGACTCATACCCATCATCCCGTGGGAAGGTAAGGCCCTTCGGGGTCCTATCTTATGTGTTACCGCTGTCAGAGCCTAGTTAGGTCTCTGATTCGGATTCCGCCCTAACCCGTGATCATGATGCAAGTCCATGCTATCCAACCCCGCTCTCTAGAGTCGGGAAGGGCCATGGTCCTTACTTATTTCCTTAGTTCAACCGACTATCCTCAAGGACTACCGAATACACCCGTAGGTGAATCCTATGTCTAGGATCAATTCATTATTCACTCTACCTTGGGTATCCCTTAAGGCGTACCCCTAGTATAACTTAGAGTTCATGCTTATCCACCTTAAAGTATCTCTTAAGACTACTTAAGGTATAACAATTCACAATCCAACCTTAGGATCAATTCTAGCAACATTTCACTTTTAATCATTCATATATTCTTATATGAAGTAACAAGTATATTTCAACATAAATTTCATGGTTAACCCCGCTATTAAGTCAACATGCTCATACACACAATCATACACAATTTTCCTTAAATTTGTATATCATGCTCCTTTTCCATATAGACAATAGTCTTCTCATTCTTAGGCATTATTAATAATTTATAATCCATAAAAACACATTTAATTACCTTAGGTGACCTCATGAAATTAACTCACTAATTATAAGCAATATAGTCAGTCATCCTCACCTCGAATGAGCTTTAAATCATATCAATTCAGATCAATATACTTAATTATTCATACAATATACTTATTCTTGGCACTGGAACAAACGTCTATTTGCATGAAATCTATTGCTAACCCAGAAAATTTCAATGATGATGCACCATTTATTTAAAAAGAGAAAGACTAGTGCCATCATTAATGTTTATTAAGAGCCACATTGACTCAAGTATGTGCTACGAATCGGTTGAAAAAACCCCAAGAACTGTGGGATATGATTAAAAGGCGTTTCGGGAACATGCATTATATCACGCCCCGGACCTATCCGGACACGTCAACAACCCGCCGTATAGTATTGATGGATAGTCTACCCGGGGGTATATATCCGAAGGGTTATTGCGGGGAATAACTTGGAGAGAAGTCAGAGCAAGTAAGTAAAAGTAGAGAGAGAAAATGTATTATAAATGCGGAGTGTATTCAGCGTGTTATGACTTGGTTACAAATGGGGAAAAGGGGTGCTATTTATAGCAGCAATAAATGCCGGGCAGGGACACGTGTCAAGCGCTCATTGGCCGAGGGGTCACCTCAACTGGTTGGCACTGGCAACCGCATGTGGCCGCATTTAATGCGGCTGTTGGATGGGACGTCTGTGCAGGGTACGGTGATCTGCACGCATGTGAGGTGGATATCTTGTCGAGTGAAATGCCTTCGGCTATAGAGCAGTAGCCGAGGGCTCTTCCTCCCGATGGCACCCCTGGTGCCGAGGGCTCACAGTGCCGAGGGCTGCTGTTTTCGCCGTTTTCTCCCAGTTTCTTAGTTTGCTTGAGAAACCCGTTCTGTGAGAATT